TTTATTTTAATTTCTTTTCACTTTAATTTTTTAAAATTAATTTATTATCTTTTCACTTTTAATTATTTTTAATAAATTATGTGTATTAAAAAAAATAATTTAAAAGTGTCCTTTAATTTTAATGTTTTAATATTTTTATGTTTTATTCGATTTTCTTCACTTATTTTAATATTCGTTCAAAATTAGCTTATTTTAAATAGAAGACATTTGAAATCAAATCAAAACGAAAGACAAAGAAAATAAACTCAACAGAAAAATAAAAGAGAAAAACAATGAATGTAAGTAAAAAAAATAGTTTCGATACAAGGTAAAAAAAAAAGTGTATTAACTTAATTTAAATACAAGATAAAAAAATAAGAATATTTTTTTAAAAAAATTAAAAATTATTTTTTTTAAAAAAATAATATTTAATAAAAAAATAAAAAATAATAATATTTACACACATGGCGGGCGAGTGTGTACAAACACAACCAACTTGGGTGGTTGAATGTGCCACATCAGCACAAAAGGTGCACAAAAATACGAAAAAAATGAGTTTAGGGGAGTAATAAGATCTTAGTTAAGTTTAGGTATGTCTCTGGGATTTCGGTCATAGTCTAGGGGGTACTTATGCCTTATCCCTTTCATTTTCAACCCGCCCCACCCCGCCCTGCATAATTTTTTTAATATTTTATTTTTCTAGTTAAGTTTGATACTAAAAATAGAATTCATAAAAATACATTCATTTTTTCATTAAGTTGTATTAATTTAATAGGATAGTGACTTAAAATTTTATTTTTTAGAGGTCAATTGGAAAACATGTAAGAAATTGAATTATTTTTTATTGAACCATTTTCATTTACTATCTTGAATATTTTAGTAGCTTTAAAGAAATTATCTTAATAAATAACGTTCTATCACTCTTATAACATGTAAAAAATTAAAATTAAATTTAAAATCACATATACTCACAACCCACCCCACATTAGTTTTAAAAAATAATCCACTTCAACCCACCCCGCATAGCCTTAAACCAGCCCCACCTCACATCCGTCCCACCCCATTGTCATCCGTACTGACATATATCTATTAGCTCTCAAATACCCTTCCATTCATCTTTGGGTCCAATATTGACCACTTTTATAGTGGATTATCATTTAAATATTTTTTTTAAATGAGTGGCGACAATCTATTGGTTATAATTTAATAACTTAAATTAATTTACAAACTCATCCATTACTAATTATACCCGACCCAAATTGACTACACTCGACTCAAGTTAACTATACCCGACCCAAATTAATTACACTCACCCCAAATTACACTACCTAAATACACTCATGTATCACCACAAAAAATCATGAGTGTTTTTGTGATTTTCTATGGTGATACATGTGTGTATTTAGGTAGTGTTTTTCGAGATTGTAGGCGAATATATTGGGGAAGAAGATTGAAAGATGAAGTGAAATGTTGAAAATGAAGGGTGTATTTGTTTTAATCGGTGGGGTAAATATAATTTGGGACGAGTGTAATTAATTAATTTGGGTCGGGTGTAATTAATAATTGGTGAGTTTGTAAATTAATTTAAGTAATTAAACTGTATTCAATAGATAATTGTCATGTTTTAAAATTTTTATTTAAATGATAATCTGTAATAAAAGTAGTCGATATTGGACCCAAAGATGGATGACAGGGCTATTTGGGAGTCAATAAGTGGATGGAGGGTAGTTTTATACAATTTCCAATAGTTCAAGGGTATTTTAGGCCCTTTTCGTCAGAGGCGTATTCAGGATTTATAGACAATGGGTGCACTATTACAAAAAGGTGGATCTAAGACATAAATTTGATCGGTTAGATTCATTTTACTGAAAACCATTAAAATTTTAAAATCACAGGTCCAAAATTAACTTTTATTTATCCAAACCAGTTGCAAAATCTTAGAAAGAAAACTAAAACAAGATAGATAAAAGATTCAAATTTCTAACCTCACCCAGAGAGGTGCACCCAATTATCATCGTACTACATTATATGATACTTCGAGTCTGGGTTCACGCATCTATATTTAAATATTTTAAAAAAATATAACACTACTATATATGATTTCGGGAGGGGACCATGGGTTCACGTGAACCCGGTGACCCCCTCCTGTATACGCCCCTGCTTTTCGTTTTCTCTTTTATACTCGGGGGCGGCTCTATGCTTTATAAAATAAGGCTTACGCCTTAGGCCTCCAAATTTTGGGGGCCCCAAATTTTTATTAAGAATAAATTATGTGTTAAAATTTTTATAGAAAAAATTGATTTTTTATGATTAAAAGTATAATATTTTTAAAATATATTATTTTACCCACTTGAACATCCTTTGTACTTTGTTAAAAATAAGAATTAATAGTGAAAAGTGTTGAACAAAGTGTATTACAAATTCTTTTTTATTTATTTTTAAATTTTAGTTTCAAGCATTACATCAAGCATATTAAAATGGGGTATACCAAGTCATCAACTTCTTGAGATTCTATGGTTCTAACTCTTATCTTTATTCAATATTTGTCAACTTATTACTTATAGAAATAAAATTTGAATAAATATGTATATGAAGTTTGTTTATATTTTAGGCCTCGAATTACGTTGAGCCGCCCTTGTTTATACTCTGTAATAATTATTATACAATCAATTTTTTTTAGTGAAAGACGACTTTGGTGTAGAGGAAGAAGGAGCAAAAACAACAATGGCCGATCCTGTAATTGGTGCTACTGTTAAAGTTGGGCTTGGCAAGCTACTTTCTTTCGCTACTGAGGAGGCCAAAACTTTAAGGGACTGCAAGAAAAATCTCGGAATGCTGAAAAAATATGTATCCATTATCCAAGCTTTCATTCATGATGCTGAAAGATGACAAATAGAAGATCAGGCTGTGGAAGAATGGCTTAAGATGCTTGAGAGAATTGCTGAAGATGCTGAAAATGTGTTTGACAAATTCACATATGAATCTCTCCAAGCACAAGTGATGAACAACCGCAACGTCTTTTCTCATACTGCTTTCAAGTTCAAAATGTGTCGAAAAATCAAAAAGATCAATAAAGAGTTGAGGGCTATCAATCAGTTAGCCAATGACCTCGGTCTCCAACCACTGACTGTTCCTTCTCAAAAACTACCAATCCGAGAAACAGATTCTCTAGTAGTTGCTTTGGATGTTGTTGGTAGAGACAAAGATGTTGCTGAAATAAAGGAGAAGATGTTGAACATGAGAAAGGATGCTGTTCTGTGCACCATTCCCATAGTGGGTATGGCGGGTTTAGGGAAAACTACTCTGGCTAAGAGAATTTTCGATGACGAACACATCAACCAGCACTTCGAAAAGAGAGTTTGGTTGTGCCTACCTGAAATGGCAGAAACTAAGAGCTTTCTTACAATGATCCTCGAAAATTTGACAAAGAGAAAAGTTAAGGTCCAGAGCAGAGATATAATAGTCAAGATGCTCTGAGATGAACTGACAGGAAGAAAGTACTTGCTTGTCCTGGATGATCTGTGGCATGTGGACCCATTATCGTGGCGTGAGTTCTTGAACACCTTGAGAGGAATAAATACATCCCAAGGAAACTTCATTCTCGTGACAACTCGTATGGAACTGGTGGCGTCCACAGTAGCAACAATAGGTCCTCATATGTTGGAAAAATTAGCAGAAGATCATTGTTGGTCCATTTTCAGACAAAGTGCATTTGTTGTTGGGGAAGTTCCGGAGGAAATGCTGAGCATGAAGAACAAGATTGTTGAAATGTGTCAAGGTCTACCGTTGGCTGCAAATGTATTGGGAGGCCTCTTAGGTAACAAGGATAAACATGAATGGCAGGAAATTCTTGATGGCAACCCCCTTGTTGTAGGGGAAAATAGCATAATGAAGATCCTAAAACTAAGCTATGATTATCTACCATCTCCACATCTGAAAAAATGTTTTGGCTACTTTGCAATGTTTCCAAAAGATTTTGAGTTTGAGAAGGAGCAACTAATCCAACTCTGGATGGCAGAAGGGTTTCTTTGTCCAAGTCAAGAGATCCCTGTGATGGAAGACGTAGGGAACAAGTTTTTTCAACATTTGTTGAAATATTCCTTGCTGCAAGATTTTGAGCTAGATGAGCACAACAATATAACACACTGTAAGATGCATGATCTTGTGGATGATTTGGCTGGAGATACATTAAAATCTAAACTATTTGATATGAAAAGTGTTGGAGGTGAAAATCTTTCTCAAGTTCGATACTTTGGATGGGACTCACCAAGAGATCAAATGGATACGATAAATGAGGCAGGACGTTTGTGCACATTGTTCTGGAAAAGCAATATATCTGATGATATGCTATTGAGCTTTCAGTTCTTGAGAGTTTTAAATTTGTCCGGATCAGGCATCGAGGAGTTGTCAGCCAAAATCAGCAAGCTAATATACTTGAGATATCTTGATCTCTCCAACACTCAGATCAAAGACTTTCCCAACTCCATTTGCAAGCTCTACAATTTGCAAACGCTTAGAGTCAATTACTGTTCTTCACTCAGGAGGCTTCCAGGAGAATTGGCAAATATGATAAGCTTGAGACACATATATTGCAACCGTCATTACCTTAGTAATGATCAGTTTCAGATGCCACTTAATATGGGGCAATTGACCAGTCTTCAGACGCTACAGTTTTTCTACGTAGGTTTAGAGAAAGGTCGTCGAATTGAAGAATTAGGTCGTTTGAAAAACCTTAGAGGTGAATTGACGATCAAATGTCTCCAATTAGTCAGAAATAAAGAAGATGCTCAAACAGCATGTTTAAAGGAGAAACCAAATATCTACAAGCTAGCATATTTATGGTTCCTTGATGAATCAGAAGGCTGTGAGATCAATGATGAACATGTGTTGGATGGTCTTCAACCGCATCCTAACTTGAAAGCCTTATCAGTAGTGGACTATTTAGGGACTAAATTTCCTTCATGGTTCAGTGAAGAGTTGCTACCAAATTTGGTCAAGTTGAAACTAAGTGGTTGCAAAAGGTGCAAAGAAATTCCATCCCTTGGCCAACTGAAATTCCTTCGGCATCTTGAGCTGGTAGGATTCCATGAGTTGGAATGCATTGGACCTGCTTTATATGGTGTTGAGATTAGCAATATTGGATCAAGCAGCATTATCCAAGTGTTCCCGTCATTGAAAGAACTAGTATTGAAGGATATGCGTAGCCTTATTGAGTGGAAGGGAGATGAAGTTGGAGTAAGAATGTTTCCTAGGCTTGAGAAGTTGACGATTACAAAGTGTCGACGGTTAAAAAGTACTCCAAGTCAATTTGAAATCCTGCGTGAATTAAGTATTGAAGGAGTTGACAGTGAAATGCCATTGTTGAACTTGTGCAGCAACTTGACATCTCTTGTGAAACTTGATATTTGTAATGTGAAAGAGCTCACTTGTCTTCCAGATGAGATTCTACGCAAAAACATTTCTCTTCAATACCTATCAGTCTCACACTGCAGAGAGTTTCGTGAATTTCCACGAAGCTTGTACAATCTCCATTCTCTTAAGAGCTTAAGGATTTATAGCTGCAACAATTTCAGTTCTTTTGTTGTTCCCAGTGGAGAGAACTACTTGAATTCCCTCGAAAGTTTTCAGTTAGAGGAGTGTAATGGATTGACCAGTTTACAAAGTGGAATGCTACAGCAATGTCGGTCTCTACATACTTTGTTGGTCAGAAGCTGTAACAACTTAGTTTCCTTCCCTTTACATGTTGGGGAAATGCCTTCACTTGGATATTTGGATATATCACAATGTCCCAAATTGATTAGTGTACCAACATGTGGGGGAAATGCCTTCACTGGGTTACGGGCAATGGAAATTGGTCCTTTCTCAGAGATGGTGGATTTTGAGGCATTCCAATTGATTTTTAGTGGTGTTCAACAGCTGTTCTCCCTTCATGTTTTGTGGATGCACGGACATTTGCACTGGGATTCTCTGCCCTATCAGCTTATGCAACTCTCTGCCCTAAGAGAGATCTATATATATGATTTTGGAATCGAGGCTCTTCCTCATAGATTTGCAAACCTTACATCTCTTGAAATATTATGGCTAGTGAGGTGCAAACGGCTACGACATGTGGACTTCTCAGATGTCATGACCAAATTACGGGAGATGTGGGTAGATGGTTGTCCATTATTAGAAGCTCTGTCGGATGGGATTGGCAACCTGTCTTCTTTGGAAGAGTTACATTTTACGAACTGCAAAAAACTAGAGCATCTTCCATCCATAGATGCCTTGCGACGCCTTACCAAATTACGGTACCTGAAATTTGACAACTGCCCACAGTTAGAAGAAAGTTACACCAATTGGAGTAGTCCAAACTTCCAGTACTGGTCCAACCTTCCCCATATTCCATATATTGGAGTAGGCGGGAGGATAATTTAGGATAGACGTAAGTCTTTCTGAGTGGATTTTTTAAATATTATTTTCCACAAGTTCTAGAAACAAAGCTTTGTATGTAATTTATGTTTGATTTTTCCTTTCAGGGAACTAGTTCAAAGGTCATGCTAGAACGTCGATGTGGTAAATCAAGCCAAATCCCATGAGCGTCAGGCAATTACTTTTGGTACATTTAGAATTTATAGGCACTTTGCAATCTACTAGTTTCTATCTTTCTTTTTGTTAGAAACCAATTTTCGGAGGTCTATGCTGATGAACACAACATTACCTTCCTAAAAAAAAGTTTAATCATGAAAATTTATGATTCTGCTCATAGGTTACTAGGTACAAGGTCATGGTAGGTCATGGTTGTGGTATATCAAGTCAAAATCCATGGGCAGCAATCACGTTAGGTATTTTAGTGGCTACTTATAATGATCTGCTTCTCCATTCTCCCAATTAGTAAACGTGTGCCAAAACTGACTTTTTACCATTTCATGTGTTTCAGATTCATGTTTGAAACACTAGCATGGACGTTGTCGAAATGTTACTTGTGTTGGATGTGTTTCAGTGTCATAATTGGCAAAGGAAATTGCATTCCGTAAACTCATTTGCATTTGGCTGAATCTGGATTGGAGATATTACTTCCCTGTATGTGGAGATCCCGGAAAAGGGTCATGAGTGATTGTCAATTGAGCTTTTCGCGTATACTGAAATGAGAGTCCAATGGATAGCTCCTGAAATTAGTTGATCTAATTCTAAACTGAATTGATCCGGCAGTGTTGAATAGCATTCAAAGTAGAAAGAGCAACTTATGCCAGTAACTTTGCTACATTTCTCTACCATGGTTGTATGTTGTGTATAGAGCAACTTGTGTCTTGCCATTTTTATTTTATTACTAGATAATGTTGCCCGTGTTATGCACGGGCCCAATAATATAAATGGTATGTTTTGGGGCTAACAACCGAGTTTTTGAAGCGATTGTTTGCGTGGATAAATGAATAAGTTTTTTTTTATCACAAATCTGTACTTTCTTTGACGCTATTTAAGGCATAATAAGACTACTCACATACAACATTTTTGAAATATTTTATGTTGTCAATTATCATGATTTATAATATTTTTACGATAGACTCACTTCAAGAATCAGTGGAATTTTTTGTATTTTTTTCAAAACATATTTTATGTTGTCAATTATCATGATTTATAGTATTTTTACGCAATTTTTAAATATAAAAAAGCTGAAAAAAATAAGACAAATAAATTAAAATGGACCCAATATATGTTATTTTTGTTGTCTCAATTTATGTGACACAAATGAAATTCGGAGAGTCATCCAAATTTTCATTTAAAAAAAAAAAAATTTAAGTTATTAATTATTGTGATTTATAATATTTTTATGTAACTTTCAAATAACATACATTACTGGTCACTTTGTCCTAATTTATGTGATATGGATAAAATTACAAAATTAACCCTTTTAAAATGTCTTTCAAATATTTTAAGTTGTTAATTATTATTATTTATAATACTTTTTTGGTAATTTTAAAATGATATGTGTTATTTTTTCTGTCTCAATATATGTGAGCCTGATAGAATTCTGAGAGTCAACCTATTTTATTATATAGCTTTTAAATATTTTAAATTAGTAATTATTGTAATTTTTAATGTTTTTTAAGTAATTTGTAAATGATATATGTTGCTTCATTGATTTGGACTTTTCCATTTGTGACATATATATATATTATTTTAAAAGGGAGTTTATGCCCAAGTATAATATATAATATTCAAGATTGGGACTTTTAAAAGGGAGTTTATGTTTAAGTTGGGACTTTTAAAAGGTAGTTTATGCCCAAGTATAATATATAATATTCAAGATTGGGAAAAGTCCCAATCTTGAATATTATATATTATACTTGGGCAAAAACTCCTTTTTATTATATAGTAGAATTTTGATGTCAGGAATACTTTCTGCCACTTGTTTTTATTAACATAAAAATATGAGCAAGACAAAAATTACATGGTGTTAAGGATTATAACGTAACTTGTGAACCAAATCCACAAATAAATTATGAAATAAACAAAGTAGCAACTACGTTTATAAAAAAGAAAATTCTTTATCATATTTATTATACATAGAGGTGCAACTGTGCAAGTCCAATTCAAATAGAGCTGGCAGCCAATGGGTATGGTCCCACATGTTAGGTGTCTATCACACTTCTATCCAAACACAGTACACCATTGTTTATTTGTAGTATACTTTCTCCGTCCCTTTTTACTTGTCAAATTTTGAGTTGGCATATCAATTAAGAAAATAATTACTAGAATAGTGAGTTTATCATTTTACTTCTATTAATTAATAGGATCCCAAATGTATTTACTAACGATACTTTTTAATAAAATATTGTCCTTGCTTGGTTTGTCAAAAATGACAAGTAACAAATTAGGAAATATTTGAAAGAAAATTCTACAAAAGCCAGAGTATTATTAGTAGTCTTAGAGAGATATTTGTGTCATTGATGTCATGACTACCATTCAATTTTTCCCACTGTTTGAATTATTGTGTTTCCTTTAGTGGTCCATAAACAACTACCAAAACAAGAATTCACCCAAAACATTGAGAAAAAAGAGTTTGTGAAGGAGCAAAAGCAACAATGGCATTTGGGAGCCAATAAGTGGATTCAATAGATAATTGTCACGTTTAAAAAAAAATTATTTAAATGATAATTAGTTATAAAAGTAGTCGATATTAGACCCAAAGATGGATGATAGGAGTATTTGGGAGCCAATAAGTGGATGGAGGGTAGTTTTGTACCATTTTCAATAGTTTAAGGGTATTTTAGGCCCTTTTCCGTTTTCTTTTTATACTCTGTAATAATTATTATACAATCAATTTTTTTAGTGGTGGGCAAAAGATTAGCAAAAGAAGAGTTTGGTGTAGAGGAAGAAGACGACTTTGTGAAGGAGTACCAACTCTAATTATTGTTTGACCTCTTCACCCATCTCTGTGTACTAAACAACACCTTCTGTCATATAGTATTTGGATCTACGTACGAACCAATCAGTTAACAATCGATCAATCTATCATTGAGCTATTGAGGAATAACAGGAGATTCGATAAGTTAATATTGAGGTGAGTTCCATTGATTCATAATTTGTTTTCATACTTAAAGGAAATCTTTATCCTCTTAATCTATATACTCCTCGTTCATAACTTGCTTTGGTGTAGAGGAAGGAGCAAAAACAACAATGGCCGATCCTGTAATTGGTGCTACTGTTCAAGTTGTGCTTGACAAGCTGCTTTCTCTCACTATTGAGAAAGTCAGTAGCTCAAGAGATTGCAACAAACATTTCAAAATGATGATACAAAATGTATCCATCATTCAAGCTTTCATTCATGATGCTCAAACACGACAAGTTGACGATCAGGCTGTCGAAAAATGGCTCAAGATGCTTGAGAGAGTTGCTGAAGATGCTGAATATGTGTTTGACGAATTCACATATGAATCTCTCAAAGCACAAGTACGAAACAGTCCAATGAGGAAGGTCAGTGGTTTCTTTTCTCATCCTGCTTTTATAAGCAAAATGTCTCGAAAAATCAAAAACATAAATGAAGAGTTGAGGGATATCAATCAGTTAGCCAAACACCTCGGTCTCCAATCACTCATAGTTCCTTCTCAGCAAATAGTACCGATTTGAGAAACAGATTCCTTAGTAGTTGCTTCGGATGTTGTTGGTAGAGACAAAGATGTTGCTGAAATTAAGGAGAAGATGTTGAACATGAGAGAGGAAGTTGTACTGTGCGCCATTCCCATAGTGGGCATGGGGGGTTTAGGGAAAACTACTATTGCTAAGAAAATTTTCAATGACGAACAAATCAAGCAGCAGTTCAAAAAGAGAGTTTGGTTGTGTCTACCTGAAATGTCAGACATTAAGAGCTTTCTTGAACAGATCCTCCAATCATTGACAGAGCGGAAACTTGAGGTCCAAACCAGGGATATAATAGTCAAGAAACTCCGAGATGAACTAGGAGGAAAAAGATATTTGCTTGTCTTAGATGATTTGTGGCATGTTGACCTTCCAGTGTGGGATGAGTTCATGGACAGCTTGAGAGGAATAAACACTTCCAGAGGAAACTGCATTCTTGTGACGACTCGTACGAAACTGGTGGCATCCACAGTAGCAGCAGTAGGTCCTCATATGTTGGAAAAATTAGCAAAAGATCATTCTTGGTCGATTTTCAAACAAAGAGCATTTGTTGATGGGGAAGTTCCGGAGGAAATACTGAGTGTGGAGAACAGGATTGCTGAAATGTGTCAAGGTCTACCGTTGGCAGCAAGTGTTTTGGGAGGCCTCTTGCGCAACAAGGAGAAGCATGAATGGCAGGCGATTCTTGATGGAAATCCCCTTGTTGCAGGTGAAAATAGCTTAAAGAAAATCCTAAAACTCAGCTATGTTTATCTACCATCTCCATATCTAAAAAAATGTTTTGCTTACTTAGCAATGTTTCCAAAAGATTATAAGTTTGAAAAGGACCAACTAATCCAACTCTGGATGGCAGAAGGGTTTCTTCGTCCAAGTCAAGAGATCCCTATGATGGAAGACATAGGGAACAAGTTTTTTCAACTCTTGTTGCAATATTCCTTGCTGCAAGATGTTGAGCTAGATGAGCACAACAATATAACACACTGTAAGATGCATGATCTTGTGCATGATTTGGCTCGAGATACATTAAAATCTAAACTATTTGATACGAAAAGTGTTGGAGGTGAAAATCTTTCTCAAGTTCGATACTTCGGATGGAACTCACCAAGTGATCAAATGGATACGATAAATGAGGCAGGACGTTTGTGCACATTGTTCTGGAAAAGCAATATATCTGATGATATGCTATTGAGCTTTCAGTTCTTGAGACTTTTAAATTTGTCTGGATCAGGCATCAAGGAGTTGTCAGCCAAAATCAGCAAACTAATATACTTGAGATATCTTGATCTCTCCAACACTAAGATCGAAGACTTTCCCAACTCCATTTGCAAGCTCTACAATTTGCAAACATTTAGAGTCAATGACTGTTCTTCACTCAGGAAGCTTCCAGAAGAAATGGCAAATATGATAAGTTTGAGACACGTATATTACCAATCAGCAATTCCTGATCAGTTTCAGATGCCACTTAATCTGGGACAATTGACCAGTCTTCAGACGCTACAGTTTTTCTACGTAGGTTTAGAGAAAGGTCGTCGAATAGAAGAATTAGGTCGTTTGAAAAACCTTAGAGGTGAATTGACGATCAAATGTCTCCAATTAGTTGGAAATAAAGAAGAGGCTCAAACAGCATATTTACAGGAGAAACCAAATATCTACAAGCTTACATATTTATGGTCCCATGATGAATCAGAAGGCTGTGAGATCAATGATGAGCATGTGTTGGATGGTCTTCAACCGCATCCGAACTTGAAAGCCTTATCAGTAGTGGACTATTTTGGGACTAAATTTCCTTCATGGTTCAGTGAAGGATTGCTACCAAATTTGGTCAAGTTGAAATTAAGTGGCTGCAAAAGGTGCAAAGAAATTCCATCGCTTGGCCAACTGAAATTCCTTCGGCATCTTGAGCTGGTAGGATTCCATGAGTTGGAATGCATTGGACCTGCTTTATATGGTGTTGAGATTAGCAATATTGGATCAAGCAGCATTATCCAAGTGTTCCCGTCATTGAAAGAATTAGTATTGGATGATATGCGTAGCCTTATTGAGTGGAAGGGAGATGAAGTTGGTGTAAGAATGTTTCCTAGGCTTGAGAAGTTGAGGATTGCAGACTGTCCACTGTTAAAAAATACTCCAACTCAATTTGAAGTTCTCCATGAATTAAGAATTGAAGGAGTTGACAGTGAAATGCCATTGTTGAACCTGTGCAGCAACTTGACATCTCTTGTGGTTCTTTTTGTCTATAACGTGAAAGAGCTTACTTGTTTTCCAGATGAGATGCTACACAACAACGTTTCTCTTCAGTACCTATGGGTCTCATGCTGCGAAGAGTTCCGTGAATTGCCACAAAGCTTGTACAATCTCCATTCTCTTAAGAGCTTAAGGATTTATAGATGCACCAATTTCAGTTCTTTTGCTGTTCCCGGTGGAGAGAACTACTTGACTTCCCTCCAAAGTTTTCAGTTACAGATGTGTAATGGATTGACCAGTTTACCAAGTGGAATGCTAGAGCATTGTCGGTCTCTACATACTTTGTGGGTCCTCAATTGTAACAACTTGGTTTCCTTGCCTTTACATTTGTGGGAAATGTCTTCACTTTCCTATTTGTATATATCACATTGTCCCAAATTGATTAGTTTACCCACAGGGGGCCTTCACCGTCTCACTGGGTTATGGGGATTGGGAATTGGTCCTTTCTCAGAGATGGTGGATTTTGAGGCATTCCAATTGATTTTTAATGGTATTCAACTGTTGTTGTCCCTTCGTAATTTGAGGGTGTACGGACATTTGCATTGCGATTCTCTGCCCTATCAACTTATGCAACTTTCTGCCCTAAAAGATATCTATATACATAATTTCGGAATCGAGGCTCTTCCTCATAGTTTTGACAACCTCACTTCTCTTGAAACATTACATCTAGTGGGGTGCGAACGGCTACGACATGTGGACTTCTTCGATGCCATGGCCAGATTACGGTGTCTGTGGATCTGTCATTGTCCATTGTTAGAAGCTCTGTCGGATGGGCTCAGTAACCTTGCTTCTTTGGTAGAATTTCTTCTTTGGAACTGCGAAAAACTAGAGCATCTGCCATCCAGAGATGCCATGCAACGCCTTACCAAGTTACAGTACATGGTAATTGAAGACTGCCCACAGTTAGAAGAAAGTTCCACCAATTGGAGTAGTCCAAACTTCCAGTGGTCCAACATTTCCCATATTCCAAATATTAAAGTAGGCGGGAGGATAATTCAGGATACACCTATGTCTCTGTTTCAACGTAAGTCTTTGTTTCTCTTTCACTTTCTGAGTAGATTTTTTAAATATTATTTTCCACGAGTTCAAGAAAAAAAGCTTTGTATGTAATTTATGTTTGATTTTTCCTTTTAGGTTACTAGTTCAAAGGTCATGCTAGAATGTCGATGTGGTAAATCAAGCCAAATCCCATGAGCATCAGGCAATTACGTTTGGTAAATTTACATCTAGAATTTATAGGCACTTTGTAATCTACTAGTTTCTATCTTTCTTTTTGTTAGAAACCAATTTTCGAAGGTCTATGCTGACGAATACAACATTACCTTCCTAAAAAAAAGTTTAATCATGAAAATTTATGTTTCTGCTCATAGGTTACTAGGTACAAGGTCATGGTAGAACGTCGTTGTGGTATATCAAGTCAAAATCCACAGGCAGAATCACATTAGGTATTTTCATTTAGTTGTTAGAGGAATGCTATAACAAGTTCATATAGTTCTTTTTTACATTCCTTTTCTCCTATGAAACAATTTTACTGTTTAACGGGGTTTGTTATGTTTCACAGAGGAACCACCACTTTTACTTTGTATGAAGAATAGAACCTTCAAAAGTGTATAGGGTGCTCAATGAGAAGCTACACGGGTCTAGCCTTTGTCTTTGCATGGCCGTGTTTGCCTTTTTATTCTCCATGTAAGTTTCTGCAATTTAATTTGATGAATAAAGTCTGATATCTACTCCCATTGGGACTTGGTATCTAACTCTCTATCAAATTTGGAACTGTTAGAATGTAAGTTGTTAGTTTGGTTCTTCACTCAATATAATTCTGTTAGATGATAGGTGTGCTTTTCGCACCCCTCCCGTCTCCCAACATGTACGAAGTAAAAAGAGTCTCACTATTTGTCATATCTATTCAGGTGCTATGATGAAGATAATGAAAAGAATGAATGGTGGGGCGCCATTAAAATCTGTTTATGAGGTATTCAGATTGGCATATTTTGCTTCAGTGGTGATTGTGGCTGCACGAAAATTGAAAGTTCAAGGTAAGTTGGCAAATGGTGGCTGTTTAGACCAATACTTTTTTCTCAGCAATGATTTTTTTACCCCTAAATGCAAAGTCTCATATATGGTAGAAATCTATATAAGTTTCTTAATAGACTCATAAAAGAATAATCTTTATGCTTTATGATTATATGACACACTTGTCGTTACTTTCACTACACTGGACAATTTCTCCGTTGAAGGACTTCAAAGATAGTTGTCATGAATCTTATAGCAAAGAGTGGCCCCATTAGCTCTTAAAATGTCCTAAGTAGTATCAGTTCATCTTAACAGGTTTTGTTTTCTCCTTTTTTTAGTGGTTACTTATAATGATCTGCTTCTCCATTCTCCCAATTAGGAAACGTGTGCCAAACTGACTTTTTACCATTTCCTGTGTTTCAGATTCATGTTTGAAACACTAGCATGTTACTTGTGTTGGATGTGTTTCAGTGTCATCATTGGCAAGGGAAATTGCACTCCGTAAACTCATTTGCATTTGGCTGAATCTGGATTGGAGATATTACTTCCCTGTATGTGGAGATCCCGGAAAAGGGTCACGAGTGATTGTCAATTGAGCTTTTCGCGTATGCTGAAATGAGAGTCCAATGGTCCAGTCGGAACACCCAGCCCACAGCTCCTGAAATTCTAAACTGAATTAACCTGGCAGTGTTGAATAGCATTCAAAGTAGAAAGAGCAACTTATGCCAGTTACTTTGCTACATTTCTCTACCATGGTTGTATGTTGTGTATAGAACAACTTGTGTCTTGCATTTTTATTTTATTGTTTTGATGTCAGAAATACTTTCAGCAAGACAATATTACATGGTGTTAGGGTTACAACGTAACTTGTTATCCAAATCGACAAATAAAATAATTTTTATAATACTTATTAAGTTTGACTTCAAGTAAGAATATAACTAGTTTAATGAAAATTAACCAAATTGTTTCCCAATGATCACAATGAAGCACAAAAAGATATGTGTGATTCAATCATTACGGCTCTTTAGGATGTTTTGATATCGTGTATATGAATCATGGTTTGCTCATTTGGTAATTAGATTGCATAATAATTGGAGAAATTTGATGTTTTTCACAACTGGTGGATTTTTCATGTTTACAAGGGAAAAAAAATACAATTTAAGAAATCAAAATTGGATGTCCATTTAGTCAGAGCCATTTAGTGATATGCTATCGTCGAGCTCAAAAGTGTAGTGAACTTGTGTTATGTATTAATTGTAACTTCTTTTTTACGTTCCTCTCCTATTTGGGCTATTCCGATGTGTGATTCAACTAAAATGCTTGCCAGCCTAAATGGTTGTTAATCTTTTTCTTTGG